AGTAAAAGACGGAAATCAATTTTAAGGAATGGTCAATCTCAGGTAGAGAGGAGAAAGAAGAGGGAGCAAAGACGAAGGCTGCAAAAAAGAGCAAAAATTAGCTAAGTGTACCCTGGGGTCTATGTGAAACAGGATGCTTTTAGTGCAAACATGAGGAAACCCAATTCGATGGGCTGAAACAGTAAACAAAAAAGTATTGGCTGACATAACTGAGAAACACAGGAGTCACTCAGACTGTGGATGGAATTTAATCTGGATGGATTCTTCTGTGGATCTGTTGTCTCCATCTTCTTGTCTGCATAATTTGCTTCTCTGGCACTGAAAAAATGACTTGAGAAGTCTCAAGCTTTATACCCCACACCATAACATTCAGGACAAGAGAGACCATCTTTTCCCCCTAACATCAAATGCAAGAATCAGGCTTCATATAAACTGAGCCACCTTAGGAAAGCTGCATGGCCTGATCCACCACTCTGATCAAGGGTAAATGGGATCCAAATGATGATTGGTTTAAATCCTCTTCATCCTTTAGTTATCACATTGTCAAGAATGAGTTCTCATTACTGCCTTAGGCTGATTATTACAACTGAGGGTGGAGTCAACCAACCAAAAATCACAGAGCCTCCATGCAAATGTGGCAAAATGGATTGGAACCTTGATGGATTGTACCCAGTCATACCTAATCCAGATAGAAAGACAGCAGCAGTCATGATGTTTGCTCTCCCTCACCTCGTATTTTTACCCTATCTCTTCTGCCATCACAACTTCATTTTCTAAAACTTTTTTATGTCCAGCTCTTGAAACCTGTACCTTGTCTCTCTGGATGTTCCCTTTGTCTCGTGCCCCTCCTCTCAGTCCACTGGACAAATTACAGCCAAGTCTCCTTCCCCAAGTTCAACTCAAATAAATTAATATAATAGGAAACTAAAACAGCAACAACAATGAAAATAGTAAACTGCAGATCAAAGGCAACAATTTCAAACACAGAGCACAGTGATGATCTTTCTTTTTACCTCCACCTATTTATACTCAATGTGTTTCTGTTCCACAGTAAATGCTTAAGAAATATTTGTTGATTTAATTTATGAATCTTAAGTAATTGAAGTTTACCCATGGATAACATGACACATACTGTTATTTGGGGTCATTAGTAGATTATTATTCACCAATTCAGTATTTTCTACTTCATTTACATGCTGTAATTTATTTTTAATCCCTAAATCAATATAGTCATTTGTGGATGTGCACAAACAGGTGCAAAATTTGAGTTACAGAAAACAAGTTCCCAACTAAGGTGGAAAAAGGTGTTTCAGTTCTCACACCTTGAAAAAGAATATTTTTAGTGGTCTATTTGTGCTACTTTTTTCATATTTTTGTGCTCCTTGTTAGAAATTTTATTGTTTCAAATGGCCCCAAAGCATATTGCATAACAGCTGCCTAATGTTCCTACATACAAGAAGGCCGTGATGTGCCTTAATAGAAAAGATGTGCGATGGATGAGCTTTCTTGTGGTTATAGTGCTGCTGGCTGTGAGTTCAGTGTTAATGAATCAATAATACCATACAGCCAGAAAAAAGAAGAGGAAATTCCCTGAACTGTAGGTGAGGCTGCTTATGAACTAACATCCTTAATGCAATGATAAAGCTATGGAAAAGTAGCTCAATTTGTGGATTCAAGAGATAACAACAGATTTTTTTTTTAAGTATAGTGGACAGCATTGCTTTAAGGCTGAAAGCCAAAGAAATATATGATCATGTTAACCAGAGTCAAGAGAATATTAAGCACTTCTCAGCTCATGTTTGTTATAAATAAATACTACATGTTATGAATTATTTGCAAATATA